TATGTGTAATTTATCGAATTGATGATGCCTGTAAACTGGCGTCCCTCATGTAAAAAATGAGAATATACTATTATTATTATCAGGAACAGTGGTCCAACTTATGTAGCACATTGGGTCTGGACATCCAACCAGTAAAACTGTGCAGATTGTATAAGGGCACTGCTGCTCCTCAAGGCAAACCATCCCCACTGAGGGTAACACTAGGCTCTGCCGAAGATGCCGAAAAAGTTTTATTGACTTCCCAAGTCCTTTCTATAGGGAGGACCTGCAATATACGTGTTAGGCCAGATAGGCCATGGAAGGAAAGACAGATGGCGAGGGAGTCGCCAGAGCTTATTCCTTCTGCCTCCATGGTTGTCCACGGCATTCCCGAACTGGGAACTGGGAACGCTTGTGAGAAGCACTGTCACGATGTACAGCAATGGAGATGGTTGGCATCCCAGATGGGTCTGGGAAGTTCAGGGGCTGTCTCTATTTTTAGACTGCCTCGACCCACTCACCTAATGTCAATTAACACTCCACGTCTGTTAGCTGTTAAGTTCAGCTCCCGAGACCACTTGACTACTGCTCTCCAGAGATGGTACGAGACCAAGGACAAGGTCAGCAGACACATTCGCTGCTGCGAGAGCCGGCCTCGTACCCAAAGGAGAGAACGAAACGTTGTCATAGAACATCCCCAACCCCTAGTCACAATACAGCGGTGCAGCACGGACGATGATAGCCAGTGTCATCCAAGTGCTCCGATTGAATCAGAAGAAAAAAACGCCAACAGGCCGGTTCCCGGGGAATCGGCCAACTAGTTCGTAGGATAACTCCTCAACCGACAGCCCACATCACGTCAACCACCCCCCAATACGGGGACATGGTGAGACTGACTACCAGTTGCCTGTACAGTAATGTGAGAGGTCTAAGAGGCAAAATAGCTGAACTTAGATACCTACAATCACAGCTGAACTCCAAAATCATAATACTGACGGAAACCTGGCTAACCCCTACGGTGGCAGACAGCGAAGTCAGTATAAATGATATGGTCCTTGTCAGGCGAGATAGGGATCTGAAAGAAGGAGTTGGAGTCGCCATATACGTCGACAAACAGCTCAGATGTGTCCATGCAATCGACCCTCCCCTCATTGAGCTCCCTGACTCCATATGGTGCCATTTCACCGTTGGGTACTGTAAGTATCTAGTGGGCAGCATTTACAGATCACCTTCATGTGGAGCAGACCACAACCAGGTACTGCTGAATGCAGTTTCAGCGACACATGACATGGGTTATGATCAAATTGTCATAGCTGGAGACTTCAATGCCCCATCTCTTAACTTGGTGACGGGATGTGCCCAGGACAGATTTGATCGAAATCTGCTGCATACCATCACGGAGGCCGGATTCATCGAAAATGTCAGAATGGATACTAGATGGGGCCCAGATGGGAAGTCTTCTAGACTGGATTACGTGCTCACTAGTGACCAGCTACTAGTGGAAAACGTTCAGATCACGACTCCCATAGGAAGTAGTGACCACGCGGTCATAACATTCGACATAGTCCTCCGCGAGCGTTTACAGTGGGACAATACACAGCCCTATCTGTGTTATAACAAAGCCAATTACACTGAAATGCGAAGACTTTTGTCTGAAGCAAATTGGCCAAAAAAATGGACAGAGCTTACAGTAGAACACTGGAGAGTGGTAAAGGAGATCATTCACCAGATCTCAGACACTGTTCCCTTGGTCACACCTAAAGCTAGAAAGCAACGTTCATGGCTAAAAAGGGGGACACAACGCCTTCTACAGGCGAAGCGAAAAGCCTGGTTTGCGTGGCGAGTATCGAAGAGTCAACCCGAACATGAAGTGTACCTCGAACTCAGGAATCGGTGTAACATACGAGTCCGGAGTAATAGAAGGACATTTCAGAGAAACCTCGCCAATAAGCTTCTCGTGAACCCCAAAAGCCTATACAGGTTTATGTCTGAAAGAAAACCGACCAACCAGGGAGCTTGCAATATAGTAGGTTCTGATGGGAAATCTCTTACTAGTCTTGAAATGGCAGAGACATTCAGTCTAGCCTTTCACAGGCAACTGAACAGTAATGAGGATTTTACCCCCACAAAACATCAACATTACAATGCAAGACCAACGTGCGAAAACCTGCTGGGTACATTTCAAATTACCCCGGCTATGGTACTCGTAAAATTGGGAAAGTTGGCTTCGGGAAAGTCTGCAGGTTGCGATGACATAAGACCATCCGTCCTGAAGCAGTGTTCAGAAAGTCTCTGCCAACCCCTAAGTGATCTGTTTCAACACTCCTTTGATGTAGGGAAACTTCCATGTGAATGGAAACGAGCCATCCTATCCCCTATCTTCAAGGGTGGTGACCGGCAGAACGCGACCAGTTACAGACCAGTTGCGCTACTCCCAGTGATATCGAAGATATTGGAAAGTCTCATTGACGACCACATGAGAAAATACTTCGATGGGACTAACCTACTCCATGAAGCACAGCACGGTTTCAGGAGGGGAAGATCCTGTATGACGAATCTTCTACTAGCTTGGAACGATTGGACACTATCCTGGGATGTAAAGGTACCAGTCCATGTGATCTTTCTCGACTTTGCAAAAGCATTCGACACAGTTCACCATGGTCTGCTCCTTCACAAAATAAGCAAAGCGGGTGTTTCTGGAGCACTTCTCGCATGGCTGGAAGATTATTTAGGCGAGAGAGAATTCTGCACCAAAGTCAACCGCATCCGATCATCCTGGCACACCTCGGCATCAGGGGTTCCTCAGGGTTCTATCTTAGGGCCGTTGATGTTTTTGATTTTTATCAATGACCTACCCTGTCAACTGAATTGCTCTGTGCTTCTTTACGCTGACGACGTAAAGATTTGGAGAGCAATAAACTCATCGGAAGACTCCGACAGATTGCAGGCTGACCTGCAAACGCTGGGGGACTGGGCTCTGGCTAACGGAATGCCTTTCAACTTAAAGAAGTGCAAAGTAGTGCAACTTCATTCCGGCAGGTCACAGAGTGCAAATTACACCCTTGGTGGCCAGAACTTGAGTTGTGTGCCATCAGAACGCGATCTAGGCCTTATTTTAACAGAAAAGCTAGACACCAGTGTAAATTACACGAGGGACGCCGCCAAAGCTTACGCCACTTTACACTTTATGCATAGGCATCTGGGAGCTCTTACTCCTGAACTATTCCTAACGTTGTATACGACATACGTGAGGCCGCTCCTTGAGGTGCATAATATCATTGCTCCTCCGCTACTCAAAAGGGATGCTAACATGCTAGAAAGTGTCCAGAGACGAGCGACAAAATGGGTGATCGGCCTCCGCAACAAATCATATGAGGAGAGACTGAAGAAATTAAGTCTTTTCACACTTAGTTACCGTAGTCACAGGGGAGACCTCATCACCGTCTATAAGATCTTAAATGACCAGGCCCATCCTAATAAGAGCATCCTGCCATTAAGTGATTATGGGCTTCCACGAGGTAACCCGCTAAGGATAGCACACCAGAGACCAAGGACTCGAGTGCGTTCACATTTCTTCTCGCTTCGAGTTTGCCGTCTCTGGAACGCTTTACCGGCGGCCGTAACTACAGCTCCATCTGTGGAGACTTTTAAGCGGAAGCTGGACAATCATGCAGAAATGCATGGTTTGTGTCTCAATGGCTTACCCTCTTAAAATTTGAAACCACATTGTCAATGGATAAGCATACAAGCTAAATCCCCACGACCCGTCCTGTCTTCTCCCACTGCACCGACTACTCTATCTTTTCTTTCTTTCTTTATTATTTCGCCTTTATTATTTCACTTATCTCAACCTATATTATCTACACTACAACCTATTATTATTATTACTCTACTTTTATGACTATACCGAATGACCAACGGGTGTTAGGTCAAACTCCATTCACGGCAGCAGCTGAGTCCTAACATAGTGCACACTACAAACCACAATCTTGACCAATCCTCGCACCACTCCTCTTGGAGTCTACCAGAGCTAAAGCAGTCGAGTGGCGGGACTTACTACGCATAAGTTCACCGAAGATCTGGAACCTCTACCTTACAATCAAGAAGCGAGCTCAAAGAAATCACTGGTTTATACTAGCTCGTAATCAGGATATTGGATGGTCGGCGAGAGTCCTAACCTCTGTGCCACCGACGCACGTGTCCTAAAGTGATATACAGGGTGAAGAAAAACCTGCTAAAGATCCTTTCATCTACTTTGCATTGCTGAAGCTCTAACTGTTCGGACGGAAAACCCGGAACTCCACATACAAAACGAAGTTACTCAACCACTTCTACTATCATGGTAACGACTGGGTTCTTTTCTGCCAACTTGATTTTGCCAGTGTTCAACTCTTGCATTTCTTTCGAATTCTTATGTAGTTTCACATTTCCATTCTGAAGGTTAAATGAGGCAACAAATTGCTTTCATAGACTGAGGAGTAGCACCAAATACCAAGCAGTGGTGTTCAGTGATATTATGAAAGTCATTTCTGGAAGACCTGCCAAGTGTTATGATATCAGATCATCCATATCTACACTTTGCACCTGAGTTGACGGCGAGACTTTGTGAGTTGTCCCATTGGTGATTCTACTAACATTAATCTGATAAAGGTCGGAAAAGATTTCCGAATTTAATGACTTCTAACTGAAATAACCAAACAAACGTTTGTTGTCATAGCCCTGTAGCACTATTACCGATAACCGGTATAGCAGCACAGTTGAGCAAAAACTGGAGGACTTACTCTAATTATAATCATGCACGATAGTCAAACCAATTAAGTAATACAACTGGTCTGCACTGTCTCAGCACAAAACAATTAGGTGCATTGTTCAAGATCAAAGTATTGATGTTGTTTTACCGCTTCATTTTTTCTAGGCTGTTTGTGGTGGAAATTAGATTTGGCCGAAATGGCGGTACCTTGTAATGTTGTAGATATGTATGTCTTATCGATGATTTTTAATCCTATATTTTAGAGATGTAGATAGCAAAGAAAGTAGGTACCCTTTTTGGCTAAGATGGAGTCGCACTTCAAACGAACACTTAAAAGAAGCCGAGAAGAAACTAATATCACGTAACTGTTCATTTTGTATATTAGTTTTGCTACTTATATATAGGAGTCAGAAGCAATGTTGAAGCTTTCTTTGTGCCTATTTTTAACGGATCTTGTTACATCCGTACATTTGTATGTCGTGGATTAAAAAGTAGTCAGCTAGCTCCTGAAAACAAAGTGGGCAATGAAAAAGTTTTACCCATTGTGCTCGTCCATGGATTTGGTTCTGGTTCTGGTCTTTGGTGTAAAAATATTGACGCGTTTGCGCGCTATCGCACTGTATATTCTCTGGATGTTTTAGGCTTTGGAAGAAGTTCTCGTCCCAATTTCCCTGTGGATGCTGTTGCAGTTGAAGAGAAATGGGTTCAGTCTATTGAGGAATGGAGGTCATCGTTGAATCTAGAAAAGTTTATTTTGCTTGGTCATAGCCTAGGTGGATTTTTAGCCTGCTCCTATTCACTTACATACCCTCAAAGGTATGTTATACTGTAGTTAAATCTTTTCACTTTTCTGCAAACTTATGGTATATTCAGCATCTTGATTCAATTAAGATGCTCACAGTTCTAACCTCACTACTATTTACGTATAAAAGACCATTATGTATGTATATGTTCAAATCAGTTAAAGAGCTTTTTATACAGTGATGTTTATATACGTAAATATATCGGCAATTTCTGTACTTTAATTTTTCTAATTAGGAAGGCTTAAGCATTATTCATCTAATATATATATATATATATATATATATATATATATATATATATATAATAAAAAGTAGTGGTATAAAGGGAAAGCTAAGAAGATGTATTACCAAGGCCTTTGCAAATTTTTTTTCAAATGACGGGATTTCATTAGTACTTTATTTCATCGTTAAACCTCTAGTAAGCGGCATTTATAAAATTCCTATCTCTATGAAGATTTAAAATCAAGAGTTTCAAGTGTTTTATTTTAATGTTTCACTAGTATTACTCTTGTAAAGACATTTGATTCATATAATCCAATTTTTTTCGTTAGACGTGCATCATAAAGTAATGTGTTCGAAGTGTACCCCGCATATGCGGACTAAGTTAACAAACTGTGTTGACTATCAGTTTCCATTTAGTGTATGGAATTGGCTTCACTGTAGAGTTTCCCTTTTCACTTTTTAAAGCATATTTCAACTATTACACATAACAGCTTTTTCCTGTCACTTAATACTGAGTTTCAAAACTTGGTTTCCACTGCTTCTCATAAACTGTTTCTTATACACTAATTGATTAAGTGTACATCACTAATGACAAAAAATATCTTTCGTATTGTTTGTGTTGGGGTTAACTTGAGTGGCTCTTGATGTATCGCAGTTATATATAAAGTATTTAATCTATAGGGTACCTATTTGGTACGTATTTGTTTACACAAATATTGATTCCGTAGAGACATGTTGAAAGGGATTCGGTTGAATACTGTACACTGCACTCTTATTCACTTAGTATGTCGATAGTGAGTATAGTAGAGGTTATGCTATGAATATTGTATCACCAATATCCTTAATGTGTCTTTTATAAATGGCAGTATTGAAAATTGAGCAGTGTTGGTGCCATACATAGTACTTCTGGTGAAGAAGTTTAGGTGTTGCTCATAATATTCAAAGTGTATTACTTTTTCATCCATTAAACCAAACAAAAATATTGAACTGTGTAGATGTAAACCCACCAATTCTTGAAGCTGTTAGTCTCTTATGGTGATATTTACCTGGGTGTCTTTCTTTGGTTGCACCTGACAAGTTCAAACGTGTAATACTGTGATACGTCCTTGGTAATATCTGTCAATGTTAAAATACGATTTGATATTTAAGTCATCAACTTGTTCCTTTTCCTTTCACACAGGGTTGTGCATTTGATCTTAGCAGATCCTTGGGGTTTTGTTGAAGACCCCCTAAAAGCCAAAGAACATTCAACTGTTAGCGCAGCACAAGCATGGATGTTTTCAACCATACGGCATATATTCCGCCCATTTAACCCTCTGTCCTTCCTTCGGGCTGCCGGACCCTTTGGTCCCACTTTAATTCACCATTTCCGTCAAGACCTTAGAGGATTTTTTGACCAGAGACCAATACGAGATGGAGAGGTGAGATATATACATTTCGTTAAGTGTAATTATTGAGATAACCTTATAAACTACATAGTAATTTGCAATACATGGTGTTCTCAGGTATATCTTCACATTTACAATGATAAACTAGTGATGTTTCAAACAATAATTTGCAAGTCAGGTCCCCGTCCCCCGAAGGCAAGGCCAGTTTTGACATCTTAGAGTGCAGTGACCTTCGAGAACATTGCATACATTTTCCAATTTGGTTCTGCTTTAATTTGACGGATAAGGCTTATTGCTCCTGTGTGTACATTTTTTTTTGGTATTAGACAATACAGTAGTTATGATATACGAAATGTTCATGGTGTTCAAGCATATTTTTTCATAAATCATTTATTAATCCTGTATTTCTTTAGAAGTAGGAACGGGAGACACTGTGTTCTCACTCATGTTTCAAAATCTGTTTCTGTTGTAAAATATGTATCATAACCAATCTCACCTAGTAAATATTTCCTTGAGCCCTAGCATATATATATATGTATATACGACTATTATTAACATTTATCAACGCATTGTTTTTCTTACATTTGATAAAAAGTGTAAAATAAAATTCAGTTTCAAACATTCAAGATGATTTTATTGATTATGCACTTGGAATGAATTACCTTGTGTTAAAGAAACACTTTATCCACTTGTTATCTGAAGAGTATATTACTAAATCTTTGCATCGTCCTGCATCTAGTCTTTGCGGCGCTTAGTTTCATACTTCACTATATATTAAATCACGAAGTTATTCTGTTTTTCTCTATTTGGAGATGGATGCATAAATAATCTGTCAGTTGGCTTAGAAATCTCTAATAAGTCGAATGAAAGCAAGAGGCGATCCGCAAAGAATCACTGTTCTCAGGTGTAAGACATCGATCAAGAGATTCTAAATTGTTTTGTCAGCTGTGTTACGTCACCCAATCTACTGACTTCGTTTCCCTTTAGTTTCTGTGCCACGTTATTCAGAATCTCTTGATTGGTTTCAAGACTGATTATTAGCTGACTTCACTTTTGAAAACCAGGTACTCAGAAGTACCCCACCAAGGATTGTACCAATGGCCGTCAGGTTGCAAGGCAAGCTCTTTGACCGTTCAGTCACTGAGACTGAATGCAATAGCCCATGAATTCCAGCTTCTGCCAATTCGTGATATTATTATTACGTTTAATTCCTAGAGGAACATAGGGCTTCAACTGCACGTCTCCATTGCGTTCGGTTCTCTGCTAGAGTCTTCACCTGGCTCCAGGTCTACCACCCACATGCTTTCATCTCCTCTTCACATGACCTCTTCCAAGTCACCCTTGCACTGACGACCAACTCGCCGCTTCCCTTTCGGGTTCCACTCAAGCAATCACCTGGTGTGTGATGTCACTTGATGGTTTCCTCAGAGTATCGCCAATCCAACTCCATTTCCTCCTGCTTATTTGTTGCATAATCGGTTCCTGGTTGGTTCTCTCCCAGAGAACTCTGTTGCTGATCTTTTCTGGCTGGCCATCTGATCTTGAGTTGTATTGAGCGAAGACAACTAGCTGTTGATGAAGGTGTGTATTTTGTTTGAGATGCTCTTTATGACGCGATGGCCAAGTCTCTGATCCGTATGGTGAGTAGCACTGACTTAACATTGGAGTTGAAAATCCGGATCTTATTTTTGATGCTGAATAGTGTTCACCTCCACACAGACTTGAGAGTAGTGAAAGCTTGTCTTGCTTTTCCTATTCTTGCTTTGATATCCTCGTCATTTCCGTCCGCCTGTAGTTGAAACGATGCTTCCCAGGTAGGTGGGTAGGTAAAGGAGGTTGTTTCTTTCAGGTTCCTCCCATTTATATACATATATATTTATCGTGACCACGAGTCAAAGTCATCGAGTGGTATTTTTCTAATATCCAACTTCATAGACCCCGTAGGTCACGATTGCCCGCTATAACTTTAGGCCACTTCATCCTCCAGTCAGTCTCTAGTGATCACTCGCCTTGTAATATGAATATCCTGGGTTCAATCCCTGGTGGGGTATCAAGGGTGCGTACTGATGGAGAGTCCGACACAAGGACGAAACAGCTCTCTAGTACTCCCTGGTTCTCATTAATTCTCTAACTAAAGTCAGTTAGGGATCCATTTCTGCATCAGTCAAATCCTTGAAAGAAGACAACTGTTGGAAGTCTCTTGAAGTTTATCTTATGTGTGTGTGTAGTGTCAATGACACATCTTCCGAAACATTCTTTTTGTTGCTATGACAAAGTAGTATATGTGTATGTGATTGTACTGCTTGAGGTTGATATTTGGCTGGAAAGAGTCAATTTGCCCTGATCACCTCTTCTTTTATTTGACTTCTATGGCTATTCAGGGAATCTACCCGTCTGCTTTCAAAATATGCTCTCTTTAGACTTAGGATTTCTCACATCTCCATATTCGACCACCGCCTTCATTATGGAATCGCTTACATTTGCTAGGCCAACACCTTATACCCAATTCCAGTGGCTGACAAATAATGCATTCCACTCTTCGAAATTCTACGTCATCTTGAAAAGTTGTTTGGAATGTATCTCATGAATGCTTTTACCTCTTTCCATTCTTTGTGAATCATATTGTTTTCTGCGGCATAATACTTGATGTCAATGTTGTATACTCAAATTTTTTTTCCTTCACGTTCCCCAGTGGAAAATAGGGCTTCAAGCTAGTGGCTTAAAGTTTCTGTAGCAGTGGTGATTATTTTTTACAGGATGGGGTTGCTAGCCAGCCTCATGCCCAACATTTCCTCTTCACCAGCATTATTTCTGGGTTAGCGAGGTACAGGAGTGCGTCGGTGGCCGGTGATCGAACCCCGGACCATGTGCATGGTGGGTGGCAAGCGTCCTAATCGCTATGCCACCGATTCTGAATCTTTAGTTACACGCAATAAATTTTGCTTCTATCAGTGTCAAATTCTATTCTAAGTGTTTGAGAAATCAATAAAAGGAACACGACGCATCATTTCTGTTGTTTTTCTTATCCCTCTTGATTCTGTGAAAGATATTGGAGATACCTCCAGAGGAACAACTTGAATCTACGGGAAACATCTCATTTGATGATCAAATTCAATCGACTGACGGTGAAGATAGTGGTACATTTGAGGCGTCTTCCATTGAGGACAAGACGTTGAAGACTAATGGTACTAATAAAAGTACTTCTGGTTCAGTGGGTTCCCTAGGCTTTGATGATCTAGATGGCTCTGTGGCACTGGATTATGTATACCACATTAACTGTCAACATCCAAGGTAAGCTTTTCTTGATATTCTAAGTTGTCTTTTTTTATAGATAGATATAATTATCTATCTGCACTATGTGGCTTCTGTGTTTTGTAGAAGTAAAGCTAATGAGAAAGTGAGTAACTAGACAGACTTACCATTATTAGCATTCTGAAGCGGAAAGTGAAGACTAACTGTAATATCTTAAGTAGTTTGTCCTATAGACTCCTATTTGTCGTTTTTATACTCTATCAAGCTTTGAGTTCATATATTAATTGTACACATTTATAGCAGAATTCTTTCGTTTCACTGTAGGGAGCACTTTTATGTCTCAGAGCTTAGCAACAATGCACCCAACTATTTTACCGTTAGTTTATAGTTAGCTTCAGATACTACTAATATATTCCCAAACTCTGGGAACGAACGAACCAAGAACCTATTGCTCAATGAATACGCTGAATAAAATGTAGATGAATCGGACACGGGCTGAAGAGACCGTTGGGGGTGACATCACATGCCAGGCCCTCGAGTGGAACCCGGATAGGAAACACCGAGTTGGGTGTTGATCCGAGTGACGCGGATGAGATCGTATATGGAGGAGATAAGAGTCTATGGGGAGTAGTGGGGCAAGCTAAGGAGGGCTTCAGGGATGGAGATATACTGTGAGGCCGAATGTTTCACTCGGAACACAAGGGGATAATAACAATAATAATAAGATATCTCACTGAATGAATAAATCTCGCTACCCAAAGCACAAGACTTAAATTAACTGAAGGAGCAATCCAGTTGATTCGTTTCATAGACTCAGTGAGCTGGCTAAAGACCATTACTATATTCAATTGGACTATCCACCTTTCAAAGAAACTTTACTTGATCACTTAGTTGCAATGCTGCTAACACTTAAGTTTGTTAATTATTTTAATTTAAAGGTTTGATAAAAACCCATTGAGTAGTTTTGGGGGTGATATTATTTGACATATCACCTGGCTATTCTCAGATACACTGAAATAATAAGTGTGTCTAAATTGCGATTCGCTTTATTATTACTACTACTACCGTTCTTTGTATATACTACTTGAATAGCCTAGCAATATGACAAATACTATCAGCCGTTCTTTTCAAGTCTCATGATCTTAAATACACTTTGCTTTAAGTAGCACCAACGCTTCCAAATCTTAACAAACTTGTGTTTATTTTTTTTTTTATGTTCAATACACCGAAATGTATATATTTCGCAGTATGTGTGTGTGTGATTTTCTAATGAGTTTGGTAATTGAATAAAACATGTATATATAGAGCCTGTGATGTGCTACATTATATACTACTGATTGTCTGAGGTGAGTAGTGCTCGCTAACCAGATCATCGAGGTGATTTAAACAACATCGGATGGTTTTTTTTGCTCGTTTTTTAGTTGAGCTCATCATCAGGGAGTGGTGTAACCGGCAATCTTCGAATGTTTGGCATAAGGGAGACAACTAACTAATTCTGTACGTGTTTTCTTCAATTTCTTCGAAAAAATTGCATAGCGTCTAGTGGAAAATTAATTAAATATGCGTTAGAGGTCATTTATTGGTCATCTGATATAAGTGCGCAATTGGAACGCTAAAAAGTTCAGAAGAGTTTAAGCAGCATTTTGATGGATGGAGATTCTGGTAGCCGAGGGATTTAAGCGCGCTGCTAGATTGAATAAGAATAACTCTATTATAGATAAGATTTTATTTTGATAAATCACACAGTGTAGTGTTATACAGTAATCGGTCGGTCGGTTTTCGACATAGAACTTTGCACATATGTGCGGCAGTTCAAGTCGCCACACTCCCTCCTTGTAGCACACAAAGCAAGAGAAGAAATGTATAATATAGACAGTTAACAGAGGTGTGAGACAAAGGAATAGTAATAAAGAAGAACAAAACAGTTTCATCGGAAATCATAAGTCACAAGGAGTGGATGCATCTGCGCCAGTCATTAAGAACGATTTTGAGCCATGTCACCAATTGTTTCAAACCATTGGTTTTTACCGTCCTGAGGACCCCAACCAGGAAGTCTACAGCTTCCTACGTGGCTTAGACTGACTGTTGTGGATTTCATTGACTGGTGCCATGTTTTGGTTTGACCGCCGCTGGTTCTTTTCCAACCTGGCCCTGTATTAGCAAACATTACCCGTAGTCGAGGAAGGCGATGACTAGGCATACGTAACACAAGTCCTAACCATCTCAGTCGATGTCATTTCACAGTCTCGTCGACTGATTTCCCCTCCTTACCTGGAACTCGACGCCTAACCTCAATATTGCTCACCTTATTATACCACTTCACGCGGGAGACAGAACGCAGACACCTATGATCGAAGACAGCTAATCTTTTCATGTCTTCTGCTCTCAATGGCCAGGTCTCACAGCCATAAAGGAGGACGGAGCGGGCTGTTGAGCAGTACAGTAATATTAACTGATGACCACGTTTCGAGCACAAACTATTGCCACTGATAATCATATCAAGTCCCTCACACAACTTTTTTCCTTCATTTATATATATGTATGGAATTGACTAGATATTTCAATAAAAATCAATAGGAGATAATGTATATTCAGAGATAATAATATGAGTGTTATTCATCAATTACAATCAGATGGGAAATAAGACGAATGTTCTTATAGTTATAATAAGTAACTTGTTAGAATGTTGTGATGTGCTTGAATTGAAATAGAATTTTGAGATTATTTATTATCCTCCTCTGATTTGACTGACTGGTGGTAATAATATCTTCCATATTTCTGGTATTTGCATTGAGTCATTTCTGTTGCATGTGTTGGGTGTAGACTCATTGAACCAGGATTCAGTAATCAATCTCTCTCTCTCTACCTACCTATATTACTTTTTAGAATTTTAACTCTCTCCCACCCTATTGTGTGATTGTGTGTTAATGCGTGAAGTGCAATTTTTTCTAAATTACTTATCTTCTCAGGCTCAACCATTCTTACCTTAGCCAGAAATATGGAATATATTATTACCGCCAGTCAGTCAAATCAGAAGAGGATAATAAATAATCTCAAAATTCTATTTCAATTCAAACACATCACAACATTCTAACAAGTTACTTATTATGACTATAAAAACACTCGTCTTATTTCCCATCTGATAGTATTTTACTGATAACACTAATATTATTATTTCTGAATGTACATTATCCTATATTGATTTTTATTCAAATGTCTAACCATCAGTTTTACTCATGCATATAAATGAAGTAAAAAGTTGTGTGAGTAGTGTCTTGATATGATTATGAGCAGTAATAGTTTGTGCTCGAAACGTGGTTATCACTGTGTGATTTATCAAAATAAAATCTTATCCATGATGGAGTCATACTCTACCACCACAGTACCCAAGTTTTATACTTATACGAATAAGAATAGTTCTTTTGAGAATATCCTTTCTCTCTATCGAGTCCGGTAACTTCTGCATTCCAGTACAAAGTTCTCTGCTTGGAATTCAGTCATCCATGCTGAAGTCTCCTCAACAATCATTTTGATTTGACACTAGTAACTAGTGTGATGAGTCTAGTCGTTTCTTTGGTGCAAACTGAATTCTGTCAGTCAGGCTGTAATGTGGCTACCACTCTAGGTAGCTCGCCATCACGGTGTACATTGTTTGTGATGATATCAGATGGTTGGAGGCAACTGGCAGGAAGCCTTGGACCTAGGTTTCGTGCTAGTTGGCACTCACCAGTCAGCAAGGCGTGTACAAGGACCAGACGCATCACACTAGTTACTAGTGTCAAATCAAAATATCTACTACACTCCTACAGGAGGTCAATCGAGAGCCCAAATAGCTGCTCGGTGGTAACGTCTCTGACTGCTGGTAGCACTGGGTGACGCGGGTTGGAATCTCAGAAGGGACATGAGTTCCTTCAAGGTTGCAGATACGCCTTGCTGACTGACTGGTGAGTGCCAACAAGCACGAAACCTAGGTCAAGCAAGGCTTCCTGTTTTAATAGACAATTAGACGAATTGTATTCAATTTCTTTTAAAAAACAAATATGTTCCGTTCTGTACACACAAAGTTGACTGTTTTATAAAAAAAGCATTTTGATTGGCTATTTCAAGCAATTAATTTTCACTCAAAGGCGAAGTGAATAATGAACATCACACTGTAGTGTAGAGAGCACGTTACATTCTTATAGTTTTTTTTCTTAATTTATTAGTTGTTATTTTAAATCAAATGATACCTTTTCATTACGAAACGCAATGGAAACTGGTTTCATCAAACTCCTTTTAGAAAAAGAAAGAAGCACTTACAGATGTAAGTGCGTATGTGTGTATGTGTGTGTGTGTTTACAGTCCTAAGAAGACGATGCTTTCCCCATGCCATACACATACATATATCGTCTGTTTCGAAATTGTGTTTAACCTAGTCAGAAGGTATCTATCTATCTACCTATCTGCGTTAGTCACGTTGAAGTAAAAATTAAACAAATTTTTCTGTAGAGTATATTTTTAAAGAATAGAAAAGGTTTACAAAGGAATCTTGACCAACTTACTTACTTTTTTACTTTACTTCGGCTATCTCCTACGGGAGGATGAGCCGGCTTCATGAACATCTCGAATCAAGAGAGTGCATGAAGTTTCATGGGAATTTGGTACGAGTGATGTCCCCAGAATCGCTCGGCCTTTGGTTTGAGAGTGCAGCTCTAGCCTTTACACAACCAAGTATGACCTACAAGGCAGTAGGAGTGGAGTAGGGAGTCCACTATCCATTGGCAGCCGGTGACCGGAGTTCGGTTCATACGCCTTTTTGAATGGGGCCAGACATCCAGGACATCCAACAAGCCCTTTGTCTGTACGTCTGCCGGTTAGCTCCAGTGAGCTTCATACACCAGTCGTTGGAGGTTTGGAATCAGGGTTTAGCCATCTCCCCTAGACTGTCATCCAATGGACAGTTAACCCGGTGAAGAGCGCCGGGCATCTGCTTTCGCCCTCTCACTTTGGTGAAAAACACCTCCGCCACGTGAAGGCAGTGAGTACGACTTCCTCAGGAGAGGCTATGTAAGACGCCCGGTCATATGGGAGCATTTCAAGAGGTGTGCGGAGGGGTGGCCAACCCGCAGTGCAAGGCACCCACCCCCGACCATGCTCAGGCTTTGGATGCAATCTTGACCAACGCCTTATCAGTTAAATCTCTATGGCCTATAATGAGTGACCTGTTTCTTTTATTCCTTTACTGTACCAGTGGAATATAGGACTTCAAGATAGAGCTTTGAAGTTCCGGTAGCAGTGGTGTTTATTGTTTACGGGATGGGATTGCCAGTCTCATGCCCAACCTTCTATTTTTACTAGTCTTATTACTTACTAGGTTAGCGACGTAAAGAAGTGCGTCGGTGGCCGGCGATCGAACCCTGGACCACATGAGGCGTGGTTGGCGAGCATTCTACTGCTGTGCCACCAATGCACTGTTCTTTACATAAACCCAATATATACTTTAGGCTGTAGGCAGTGCTAATGAGAAGCCGGCGAAATAAACAATGGTGCTACCATATTATTTCGCACAAACCAATGTTGTTCTTGCTTTATTCAAAAATGACAAAATTACCTATTCTGGTAATAACACTTTGAAAGTATTAACCAGATCTCACTTACTTCATTTGGGTTAAAGCCACATACCGGCAATCATCTATTTCTTCTAAACGTACTCATTCAGAAATGTTTTAGCAGACAATTTTTCTGGAAATTGAAATCTTACAACGAATAGTATGTGAACAGCTCATTGAGAATGCAAAGGTTCTCCGTCAAATATCACTGTGCTTATGAAAAGCGAATTCTGTTAAAATCTCTGACAAAGAAACCAGGTTGTGAAAAATAAATGATAAGCCTTATTTACCTCTCAAGATAGACGAGTAGAGCGTTGGAGAGAACATTCTGAAGGGCTATTTAACTGGTGGTCTACAGAGCTATGCCTATTTGCCCAGTAGTATCCAGCATCTACCTATGTGAGATGTTAACATAAGTCCTTCAGCTGTAGCTGAAGCTGCGAAAGCCATTTCTAATATGAAACGAGGCGCAGCAACCCAACCTGATGGAATGACTCCAGAGACGCTTACGGAGAGCGGTAATGAACTGTCGCTTGAGTTAACCAGGATATTAGATAATTTCTGGGAATCAGACTACAAGAATTAATCTCCTTTTATAAATATGTAGATACATAAAATTATACAAGCGACAATACTACACTCCTGAAAAACTGAAGGTTGGCGGAAACATGATGAATTATAAATAGATAGTATCACAGATAATGCATGTTGTAATGATAACCTTTGCTGGTTTATAAAGTTTATAAGTTCTTTTCTGACATCTGTCTGCTTCACAGAAAACCCGTGCTAAATATGTTGGTGTGGTGGAATTCCTTTATATTTAGTAGCCGTACGAGCATGCATTCTTACGTAATATGATATAAGCTTTTGAAGAAGTCCAGGCAAGAATAAGTGTTCGGGAGCAATAGACAAGAATGGGAAGAATACACGAATTAATAAATTGTAAGAGAAGAGGTTGAGGTATCATGTCAGAGAGGCTCAACTCCTTTATGCTGCTATAGGTCAAACGAGAAATTTTCGTAGAAATCAACTGAATATGAGGCGACCAAAATAGATTTGAACAGAAACTGACGCCAAGATAGACGGCATTTGATTTACTTCCTATTGCAGTGCCGTCAGTATTACAGGAATCATGGGAATGAATCAGCCAGCCCACGCAAGTGCTTTTCTCACCTGAAACTAAAATCAACAATATGACATTTAGGTGGTTACAGTTTATGACCATTTAAGGGGGGGGGGACTAGTTGTTAACCTCAGATAAGAATCTATTCATATAAGAACAGTTCAATGCAGAAACTATTGGGGAGGTGTAGACTTCCTGATTGGGTGGGGTGGAGGGGCTCGGAATGGTAAAAGCTAATGGCTGGAGACAACTGGTGATATGGCTCGAAATCCTCGTTCTCAATGGCTGGTGCAGATGCATTCACTCTTTTTGATTTATAATATCCAATAAATTTCCATTGTTCTCTCAGCGAGACTGTACCAAAATAAATAGCTTTCTGTCGGGAGTCAGTAAATGGTCTGAGTCTAACGATCTTAAACTGAATCCTTCTAAATGTCAAACTGTTAGTTTCAGCTTAAGATGTAAAAGACAGTTAAAAGAAGCCGTCGATTCTCATGACAGTTGTAAGATTGACGACAGTGATATAGGAATTAAATCAGAAATTAAGTATCTTGGACTTATTCTCTCTTCTGATCTCTCCTGGTCTTCCCATGTCTTAGCGATATCCAGTAAAATATTCCGCCTGACATTTTACATTAAGAAGTTAAGGCACTCAGGTATAACTCAACCCCTCCTCTTACGGTTCATAAACTCTTGCATCCTACCTATTCTTCTTTATTGTTCATCCTTATTCTTTCTTGCTTAAAAAGGACTATGTCACAATTCGTAGAATGCTGAAGACTGTCAGTAGGGTAAGTGGGTGTCCTAGTGGACCACATAGTTAACGTCGTTGTCGATAGGCATTTGACTTCGTTCAATAAATTTGCTATAGGGCTTTTGTCTGACTTGGAGCATCCACTTCACCCTCAGCTTTCACCTTGCGTCTCCTCAGGCTGAACAAAAAGTAACTTCAGAAAACTGTATCCTCGCACGTCTAAGTATAAAAATTCTATGATACCATACTTGGCAGGTATTTTATGTGATGAAAATAGCGTCAGGCAAGAATTGACTAACCTTTTTTCATCTAGTAAATAAACAATGTCCTTATATACCTTCAAGTTTTACTTTTATCATTTCTATTACATTTATGGTCATGTTGCTTCTTTGTTTTTACTTTCATAATTGCAAACACCAACTTATCTCTATGACTGCTGTAATCTTTGTTTTCCCTCACCATATCATGTAAAGAGAAAATTATATTCAATATTTTTTAATCATGCAACGATTTGTATACCACATCGACAATACTGTGTGAAACAAGCCCACGGCAATTTCCACTTGTATTATTATTATTACCTTAGCTGTTATCATTATTATTATTTCCACTTTATATGCTGTCTGTTTTTGACATTACCCCTATTGTAAATGTGGAAAATTTTGTGTGATTAATTTTATTTATAATTTGAGGAAATTAGATGCAATATTGTGATTGACGTTGAAAATTCCATTATGTATCACAAGTACTGTTTTTGGAATAAAGTAAATTATTATTATTATCATTACATTACTTTTCTTTTTCCTCCACTCACACTTCTGTTTATTATCTGTCTCTCTTTTGAATCTCTCTTTACTCTCCTCTCTTGCTTTCTATGCTAAATGGAGGGAGTGTGGCAAGTCGAGCTGCTGCACATCTGTGCAAAGTTCTATACTGAAATCAGTCAGTCAGGCAGACTTAATGACTAATGTTCCAATTTATATATTATACAGATTTTCGCGAACCCGGAGGTTATACTGTCTAGCGAGATTTAATTTAATTCATTAGATAATAAAAAATTCTATTGCTGCTATTATTTATTATTACTATTACTATTATTTACTGTAGTGGAGAAGCGGGATTCAAATCATTGTGCAGTTCCGTTGGATGGCCTCAACGTCCCATGTTAGAGAGAATTGCTCAACTCGATGCTTCACTTCCTGTCACTTTCATTTATGGTTCCCGATCATGGATGGATATGTCATCTGGACATAAAACTCGTGCTCTTCGGCCTAACTCCTATGTGGATGTAAAAGTAAGCACCTGTGATATATACATATTTCTTTTTTTGTTACAACAGTTTATGCATGACACGGTAACTGTGGGAAAATTAAAGTGAATTCTTTGTTAATTCTTTCTCAGTTTTCATTTCACGAGAGAATTTTCTTGTGGATGTTGTTCATTAACGGTGATATACTTGTTAGGTGTGATATAGGATCAGGTTGGAAAAGAGCTGCTAGTCCAAGGGGTCAAACCAAAACTTTGAAAAAAAAACTCCATGAAATCTTTGACAGTTAGTGTGCTCCAGTCACGCAGGGCGGTTTTTACCATCCCGAGGACCCCAACCAGTTAGGAAGTCTACACCTCCCTATTTGGCTGGCTGGCTCAAACTAACTGTTGTGGATCTCATTGACTGATGAAGTCATGTTTTGGTCTGACCACCGCTAGCTAACTCTTTTCCAACCTGATACAACTTATTTCAGCTAACATTGACCCGTCAGTCGAGGAAGGAAGGCGATGGATGGCTAGGCATACGTGACACATGTACCAACTATCTCTCTAAATCGACGTAACTTCACAACATCACAACCGACTGATCTGAGTATAATTCCATTGTGGTTAAAATTCATTTTGATAAAGTCTCACAGCGGTGTTATACAGTAATATGTTTACTGATGACGTTTCCAGTACAATTTATCATTGCTCATATTCATATTGAGTTACTTATGCAACTTTTTAACTTCGTTTCATCGCTTGACTTGATTGGTAGCAGTATTCTCACGAGTTGATCACGGATTGATATCAGTTAGAGAATCATTGAAAACCAGCAAGGAGTACTGGACAGCCAGCTGTTTCATCAGCCTAGTTTGGGAATCATCGGCAGTACGCACGTACTAACAGGGTTCGAACCCAGGACTTCCCGGTTACAAGGCAAGCTTGTAGTATTTTCCATATTTCCGATATAAGTAATGAGTCAATGCTATTGTGCACGCGTTGGGTGTAGATTCTACGAACAAAGATTCAGTAATCAAACTCTCTCTCTCATCGGCTACTTCTGTCTGTCTGGACTCAACATAGAACTTGGCACCGAAGTGCAACAGTTCGAGTCGCCACGTTCCAAGCAGACAGATGTCAGAAAAGAACTTATAAACTTTATAAATTAGCAAGATATAAACAAAGGTTATCATTAAAATATGTATTGTCTATGATATTATCTATTTATAATTCATCATGTTTCCGCCAACCTTCAGTTTTTTGCAAGTGTAGTAGTATTGCTTGTATAATTTTATGTATCTACATATTTATAAAAGGAGATAAATTTTTGCACTCTGATTCGCAGACATTATCTAATATCCTAGGTAACTCAGGCGACAGTTCATTACCGCTCTCCGTAAGCGTCTCTGGAGTCATTCCATCAGGTTGGGTTGCTGCGCCTCGTTTCATATTAGAAACGGCTTTTGCAGCTTCACTTACCCTTGAAGGACTGATGTTAATATCTCACATAGGTAGATGCAAATAGGCATAGCTGTAGACCACCAGTTAAATAGCCCTTCAGAATGCTTCCTCCAACGTTTTACTCGTCTATGGCTGGAAGGTAATTAAGGCGCTGTTTTTCTCGAAGGTTGTTTTGCTTATCATTTATCCTTTACAACCTGGTTTCTTTGACAAAGATTTTAACAGACTTCTCCTTTCATAAACAGAGTGATATTTGATGGAGAACCTTTGCATTCTCAATGAGCTGTTCACATACTATTTGTTGTAAGGTCTCAATTTCCAAAAAAGTTGTCTGCTAAGACTGGCTGGATTCAACATAGAACTTGGCACCGAAGTACAGCAGTTCGAGTTGCCACGTTCCAAATAGCACACAAACGTAGACAAGAAAATGAGTGAAGAGAATCCATAGAGTTTTGACAAGTATAAGAGTGAAACAGAATGAGTAATGGTAGAAAGGAATATGAAAGATTACAGAGACTGAATACATCTGCGTAAGCCATTGACAACGATTTTGAGCCATGTCACCTATTGTCTCCAGCCATTGATTCTTGGAATCCCGAGGGCCCCAACGCGGAAGTCTGCATCTCCCTACCTGACTCAGTTTAACTGTCAAGGATTTCATGGATTGATGCCATGTTTTTGTTTGGCCACCACTTACTCTTTTCCAACCTGCACCTATATCAGCTAGTAATGCCCATCTGTCGGGGTAGGCGATGGTTAGGCATGCGCAGCACGTGACCTAGCCATCTCAATCTACGTAACTTTATAGCCTCGTCGATTGATTTTCCCTCTTTGCCCAACACTCCATGCCTAACGTCAACATTACTTACCTTATTATACCACCTAACGTGAGAAAGAGATCGTAGACATCTATGATCAAAAACAGTCAACCTTTTCATGTCTTCAACTCGTATTGGCCATGTTTCAGAGCCATAGAGAAGGACGGAGCGAACTGCTGAGCAGTACACACGTCCCTTGGTTGATAGCCGGCATCGCCTACTTATATTCTTAGAATTTTCACCCTCTCCCACCCTATTGTGTGGTTGTGTTTGTGTGTTAATGCATGCTAATGGCTGTGAGGATGAACACTTTCCTCTATCGATATCGATATATATATGCTGTCGTATTCTCTTTTTCTCGAATTGCCTTTTTATTGTAGGCTTTTCTGCCTGAACAACACAAGCTTAATTTATTCTGGTGTAGTAGTGTATGCATTATTTAAAATGTGTTCTGATACCACAATTGACCTGTGTTAAATGATATAGTGTGACCTATTTATTTATTCACACTTTTTCAGTCACTGATGATATGGACTATATTTTGTCATATATATATATAAGGTCATTCAGTTTTAGGTGATATCATTAGATTTGTACGTTTAGTTTAGTTTTTTTTGTTTTTTTTTGCACTCAACTGTTAGTTTTATAGGAATTTGTTTAATATCAATTTAGAATTCACCTTAGACATTGTCGTATTATTAGTATAAAAAGCTGTGACCTGTTTCGTTTACCATCTGAAAAAAAGCATACTCACGCCTGACATTAGCTGAACAATAACCGTATTTTACTGGTTACCCAAAAAGCTTATGATTCTGTTGATAATGAATATGGTCATAAGGGAGAGAGAGTGCACCATCGAGAGGAATCCCTGGGTCCAGCCAAACCCCTGTCAGGTGTCCCCTTACCCTCAATGCTTATCATCTATCTGATGTTAATTAGCACTGGGTGACGCGGGTTCGAATCTCAGAAGGGACATGAGTTCCTTCAAGGTTGCAGATACGCCTTGCTGACTGACTGGTGAGTGCCAACTAGCACGAAACCTAGGTCAGGCTGGGCTTCCTGCCGATTGCCTCCAACTATCTAATGTCATCGTGATGGCGAGCTACCTGGAGTGGTGGCCACATTGCAAACCTGACTGACTGATAGAATTCAGTCTGCACCAAAGAAAGGACTAGACACGCCGTACTAGTTACTTGTCTCCAATCAAAGTAATAAAGTCTGTTGTGAAAGAGGTTGTTTGGTGTTATAGATTTGACAATCCCCTATATTCATATTTAAAATTATTGTCATTCTTAGAAATATCCATACATATATATATATATATATATGCATATAATTAAAACAGAAATTTGGTACACCAAGAGATGCACCGCGCGAAAATCCATAGTTTATGTGAGGGCTGGGATACCGCCTAAACATCCAGACCGAAGCAGATGGTTGTCTGACCCACAAGACAGTGGAGTAGCGTCGGGAGCTACACATTCTCATGGTTAGTTATTGGTGACCAGAACTGGTTCACCACAAGCCATTCGATTCTTTCGTTTTCTGCCACCCGTGTACTTCATAGGTTTAGAATCAGGGTTTTGCAACTCCTCTGGATAGATCTGCATGTCCACCAGTTTATTTGTAAGCGTCAGGTGTTCGCATTCGCCCTTTCACTTTTATATGAGGGACACCCCACTACACAGCGTGAAGGTATTGGATAGTTCATACCTGGCGGAGACAGCATTTCTAGAGAGAGGTAGACCGAAGTCTACCCAACCTTGGCTGTACCAAGTCGTTTATGGGGACGAATTTCAGTGTACCCCCTCCCTACTCTCCTGAATTGATTGCCTTCTTATGTGTTCGCGTATTATCGCCGTCATACTGGGACAGGATAGTCACAAGTATTTTCGGAGTGAAATAATTATGTAGGTTTTTTATCAAAGCTCTAAGTACTAAGTCTTCATTGTGGAGATGTAGCTTCCAACCTGTTGATCTCTAGTTCAAACCTTGCTCCATCTACCTCAACCCTAGGTAACTGAGTTTTATCTCTAATTCTGGTTTCATTTCTGTCGTTTCTCAAGTCACCTAATCAACAATGCAGGTAAATGTCAGTAAACAATTTATTTGAAACAGATTGTGAAACATTCCAGAATTAAAACTGTATCATGGTTAACTGATTGTCTGCTTCAGTTAAGGTTTCTAAACTCTGGATAGTAAAGAATAAAATTTTTGGTCAGAATAATGATATGAATATTACAACTACATACAGTTTAATTAGTTTACTTAGATATATGTGACTATCAGTTCTCGTAAGAGCTTCCACTTTCGGTATACAAATTCAACTCATGAATCTTACAGGGTTTTATCATGAGCTGATATTGGTTAGAGAACCTGAGAGTACTGGACAGCTGTTTCGTCCTAGTCTGGGGCTCCTCACCGGCACGCAAATCAACACTTGAATATCAATCTGACACTCGCTAGCGACTAACCCTATTCACATAGGTAGTTACCTGAGGTCTAGTGAGAGGTCATGACCAGTAGGGTACAGCAGGTCGGGTATAAGGACAAATACTCGCCTCCGATGATGTTGGCCAGTGGAATTCATGGGCTGGCCATTGGATCGGGTTCCAGTGGATGAATGGTCTACGACCTTTTCCTGTAACTAGAAAGTCCTGAGTTCGAACCTCAATGGGGTGGTTGCCCACTGTGAAGAGTCCCCTACTAGGACGAAACGGTTGTCCAGTACTTCCAGGTTTTAGAGTGGTCCTCTAACTGA